ATAGGAAGTGGGGTCCCAAGGCACTGCAGCCTTCTGGCTTATTGTACCTTCCTAGTTCCTTAGTTCCGTCAATAGATTCCTTCGATTATTTGTACTTCTTGTAGCAAATATTTTCCCATTTTTCTAGACTCTCTTCGAAAAGCTTATTTATTATTGATGACTTTGGAAGTTTGTTGTATGTCAAATTTAACTCTCAGATCCTATTTGCCCAGACTGTCGGTTTCTTCATTTCTTTCTATTCCGCAATGAGCCTTAACCCAGCCTAGTAGCACATTAAGATTCTGTTTCCCTAGAGTTTGAACGGTATGGCATGGTATGGTGAAAAAGGATACTAGGAAGTGGGGTCCCCAGGCACTGTAGCCTTCTAGCTTATTGTACCTTCCTAGTTCCTTAGATCAGTTCAATAGACTCAATTCTTCTTCTTAGAAGTATCAGGTAATTGACTGTTGCTGCTGAAATTTGATTCCCTACGTTTTTTCCGTACGTTAGGTTAAACCTCCATTGAGCTGTTGCTTCGTATTAGAAGTTGATATGAGTGGCTGTTTCCTCCTCCTCATTGCATAAACTGCAAATGGGATCATCGTTGTATATACACATATGAGGATGTTTTCTCAGATTCCAGTGACTGGCTAGTAGTCCTACCACTCCTCTGAGTTTAGCCCTCTCCAATTGCGAGCAGTGTTTTTGCCAGTCTCGGTGAGGGTTGTATCATCATAAGTTGACTATGCCTAGCACTGCTAGAGTTTATCCACTTCTCCTTTTGTTTTGCTTGGATCCATTCTGCGATGGAGGATTCTATAATTGTTTTTGTCATCCCAAGAATAGGTTCTGATCATAAGTATGGTCTTGAAGATCCTCCTCTGGCCAGACTGCCTGCTTTCTCATTATCCAAAATTCCCCTGTGCCCTGGCACCCAAGATATCATCAGGTAGTTGTGTTTCCCCAGGTTTTGAAGATTTTGGATACATTGACTGACTAACTTTGATGTGATTCTTTTACATGCTAATGCTTTAATGGCTGATTGGCCATCTGATCTGATGAGGACTTTTTGTCAGTGTAACCTCTTTTAAGATTTTCCAGGGCACAAGCATTGATGGCATGTATATCCGCTTGAAAGACCGAAATGTACTTCCCTAATGAGTTTGATTGCTCATGTTTTGGGGGAGAAAACGCCTCATCCGGTTCTTTCGTTGTTTTGGAGCTATGTGTAACCATATCATTGTATCTGATGGTCTCCTGTGTTCTTCTTCCCCTTTACAGTCCATTGAGACTTTATAGGAAGTTGTGAAGATTTTTTCCAGGAGCACATGTACTTAACCAGCACCTAAGTCAAGCGGGTCAGAGGGCCAGATTATCAATCCATTATTCTAGTGGCCAAAGGTGAAAAAGCGCCCTTCTATCATTCTAATCAAATACTTCAGTTCTTAGGCTAATTAAACCAATTAGTCCAATTATACAAGTATGTATATAAACCCTTGTATGTAAATAAAAGTCACTCTTACAGTAGCGTTCTGTCCATTATAATGTTGGTTCCACGATTATAAATTTTGGCAATAAATTTTGTACTTTCCTTTCCCATAGGACTATTAACTTCCATTATGAATATTGTTTTAACTCAATATATTTTAAACAATATAATTATATCAATGCTGCTTTTTAACATCTTGTTAAATGTTTTAGAACCAGCTTACCCACTAACTTTACAATACCAAGATTTAATAATGTAAAATATAAAAAATGTTTTCTTATAACAAGCTTGCATCTACATACTGATTTACCAGATGAAAATAAGGAAGTCTCCAATATTGAAGAAAAAAACAAGCTTTATGTAAAACTACTAATAAAGATTTTGAATTAATTAATCTTTTTTCGGTATTGGATGAGATAAAAAAGACAGGGTCAACAGGGGGACTCGAACCCATGACCCTCGGCTAAATACGCCGCTACTCTACCACTTGAGCTAACGTGACTTCTATCCACTGGTACACCAACTTCCCACTTCAACCTCACCTTTCGAATTTTCCCTCCTTTTTGCAATTTTTCAAATGTCGTGTAATCAGGACTCGATTCTCGGTGACAAATGAAATGGCCACGGAGAGCTTTAGTGAAGTATACTTCATTTTAAATCATTAAATTCACTAATTTCGTAGATTGGCCGATTAATATATTACAATTAATTAAGGTTTTTAGTGGAGATAAAAAAGTCAATGGCAAGAGCGGGATTCGAACCCACGATCTTCGGCTAGATACGCCGCTGCTCTACCACTTCAAGCATCGTGACCTCGATCCACTCGGACACTAACTTCCCATCTCAACCTTACATTTTGAATTTTCCCTCCTTTTTTAAAAATGGCTGTTTTTTCTTAAGAGGAATTTTTTTTTGTTAACAAGACTTTTTTTAAAGTTTGTTTCTATCACACGGCATTTTTTATAAATATAGCTTTTTATCGGATTTCGTAAGTTCAAATTATACATTTTTATTTTACGTGTGTGGTTGGAGATTTCCTTTTTGCCGGTTCTTGTTTTCCTTTTGGAAAAAACTTAGAATTGTTCAGTCGGGGACGACTAACAATATAAGTGATACCAGCTTTTCTTATCTCCCGGGGAAGAAGTTCCCCACCAGGGTTGTTTATGTAGCAATTTTTGCACCGTTACAATCTCATAAACTAAAGTTTTAAACTCGACATTAGCTTTATAACAAATCAGATGTAGGTTACATCTCCATCCTTGCGACCTCTGCAGAATAACGTCATGAACATAACATCATGAAAATAACGTCATGACAAAACGTCGGCTAAATTGCGGCCACAATGTTTAAGTTTTCTGTTGAATGCTAACCATAAGCTTCAGATTATTTATGACGTGTCTAGCTCAAGTGAATGTCAAAAATCGAATACATTTCCAAGTAGCCATGATTCCTCTTCAGCTATAAAAACGTGAACAAAAATTATAATATAATTAGTTCTGTTGTTATGTATTTTGTATTAATTTGTTATTTCCAATTTTTAAAAATGTTAATAATAATTAAAATTGTTCATTTTTTTTTTAAATAATATTATAAATTTGAAAGGAATGTCCAGGCAATCTACCTTTATAATAATTAAGGTAACGGGACTGTTATCTCAATGCCCAGCCATATTTAAGATTGTTTTGCTCTTATGACCTTAAAATAGGTCGAACGTTTGGCAATAACGATTGAAGTTGTCCGTTTAACTGGAGAATAAATAATGTATAGGGTAAATGTCGAACCTGGCTAGTGGTGTACTGCATCCATTATTCCATTACTATGACAAGAATGTATGCCGGGTTTACTCTCCATGTAACTCAAATAGTTTAATGAATTTATCTTTTTACTTATCTCGTTACAAGCGATAAACATTATGTCAGGTATTTGTTGAAATAAAAAAGCCCGTCACGAGCGGGATTCAATATATTTTTATTTCAACCAATACATTACATAAAGATTAATTAATTGAAAGAAGTTATTTGGTTAGTCTGACCAAGAAATCTATAGGATTTAATAATCAATAACGTTGTCAGAATGTTCAGGGTATCTGGAATACTAGTCTGATTTTTTTTTCTTTAAATTTATTTCACTGAGAACAAATATTCATTTTATCCACTGCGAACTAACCATCTGATTGTGGAATTAAACCTTCTTTACTTTTGCTTTATTTACTTTTACTTTATTTTACTATATACTTTTACTTTATTTTTGAAAAATGCCACTGCCCTTAAGTTAGTTCATTTTTCGGTGTCTGAACATATTGTTTTTTAATTTAGTTTACTGGCAACAAACAATTCATTTCATCCACTGCCAACTAATCAACCTATTGGGAAATTAACTCTTCTTTATTTTTATACCTTGAGAGGTGCCACTGCTCTTAAGTTAGTTAATTTCTCGGAGTTTGAAAAGTTATCGGGCCAATGTTTTCCTGTCACAACGACATGTTCCGACGTCTCTCCCTATTCGGGAAAAACAGGTAGGTTTCTATCTCAGTTTTTCACACTTTTGAGGTAGTGATGGTCAGCTGAAATGTCTATTGTTTTATTAATTCTAGCCTACTTCAAGAGTGATCATTTTTTTTTTTTGCTGCGGTTTTGAAGAACTTGTTTGATTTTTCACCTCGTCAATCATTCTAGTGTGCGGCCAGTCACTATCTGCTGCAACCTTATCAACCTTTTCGTGTAGAAATGTGTGGTGATTAGTGACCGTTAATCGATATTTATTTAGAAATCGTGAGATGCGGTCTGGTATGATGTAGGTTTCAGAAAAACATTTTCTTTATCGTGTCAACGTTTCGATCTTTATTGAGATCATCTTCAGGGACTGGTATTTATAAACATTGTTTACATTTTACAAGTAGCATTGTATAAATTCATTTTTTCATATCCTACATGTATTTGTAAAATTTAAACAATGTTTATAAATCGCAGGCCCTGAAGATAGTCTCAATAAAGATCGAAACGTTGGCACGATAAAGAAAATGTTTTTCTTAAACCTACATCACACCAGACCGCATCTCACGATTTCTAAATAAACTTAGCAACCTTGTTGCCCTTTTCGTTTCCTTCAATCCCTTTGTGCCCTATTGACCACATCAGTGTACGTGATCACGCTTGCACAGGAGTTGTAGATATGCTATTCAATTCCAGATCGACTGGAGAAATTGAAATAAGAGCGAATGTATAGCATATTAGTGTAAAATTGGAGTGGAAGAGACACCATTAAAAATTTTCTACTTATGATCAAACGAAACTTTTATTACCAAAATAATATTGAAAATTAAAATAATCAATTGCAATAAAACAATATTATCTCAGTGAACTCGCCTTAGTAATAGCGTACACTAAACGGATTATTGCATTTATTAGTGATTAATATGTTAATCTCACAGAAAACTAATTGCTCGGTGGTCTCTGTACATATCTGAACTACTGATAATGGTTGAATTTGAAAAAGAATTTACCAAAACTGTGGAAATATTTTAAGATCAAACTTTAACTCGTATTCCATGTTTATGCTTTTTTAATATACATCTATAAATCTCATAAGACACTACGTATAAAGTTTTGGATTAATTACGTGATAAGGGTGGAATTTTTGAGCACAAGTCTAATTTTGAAATGGAGCAACGGGCGGCATCACTTAATTTCTCAACGATCGAATCGACGACATAGTCCTGAAAGTGACCTACAGTCCAGTTTTTGATCTGTTCTTCTAGCTCATAGAAGTAATGACCGCCGATGTGAATGTTAAGATTTCCTAGGTTTTTAAGGACGATGTGATCTACGGAGGCGACGCACTGGGCACCGTGGCCTTTGAGCGATAACTGGAGTTCGACCGAATTGGAGTAGATTGTCGTATAGGCCTTCGACGTAATGTTGTTCTCCAGCCATGTCTTTCCGTAAGTTTTGACGTTGCACGATCTGAAGCCGAACTCCAAATTGCCGAATCCGAGTAGTACGTTCAGGGTCACTTTGTCCCCCTTGGTGGTCATGGTCGCATCGCTCGCCCTAACACAAAGCACAAAGTTAATTTTATATAGGCGAAAGTAACATTATAAAAATATTCACCTTTCTATTGAACTGGGGGATTTGACCCATCCGTCTCGACATCTGAGAATCCCGTTGAACTTGAAAACCGATATTACTAAATTCCAATGTTTATTCATGTCAGGGATCTTCATCGTGTCTATGGCGTCTTGTTGGATCAAAGATCGTGCAGATTGGAGCAACTGGTCAGTCATATTATTAAGAAGGGCGGTGTCGGCAACAGCCGAGCCGATTAATAGTCCGATTATCCATATAACACGCATGTCGGTATTACACTGTTCCAGATAAATTCCGTGTACGATTATATACTATTACCTTATCTATACTCAAAATCCGCCCATGCTTAGTGTGAAGTATACATGTCAGTTTAAATATTCAATATTATAAATACATTTCAATCAAATTAAGATTGTTTTCCTTCTATTTTGTCAACTACGTTGACATTGCCCGTGTATTTATTGTTGATAAAACCACTTGTGAAGTCTCATTTTGAAATGCAATCAAAAATATCAGAGGAAATTCGGTTTACATTTGATTTAAGTGAAGACGATTTTGACTACATGATGTCATAACGATTCCAGATCACGGGAATCTCAGTACACGGACAACATTGACAGAAGAGTATCATCAAAACTATTTATATTTCCAAAACCTAAAATTGCGATAACGAGATCAAACACTCTATTTCCAAACGGGTTCACAGAACACCGGGAGAAGTGAAAAACCCTGCTCATGCCATACACAGAGAACTAACAAACCCTCGTTTAATTCAGAAAAAAATCTACGACTAAACGACTACACTCTATCAAAAATACATTTTGAACAAATGATAAAATAAGGAAATTTAAACAATTATTATATAACTGTGGCATTGCCAATATCAGCTCCTGAACGTTAACCCATTTCATTTCTCACATTGAAAATATTTTTTTGAAAACATGTATTTTTATTTTTTTGTAATGAATACTAGCTCTGGGCCGAATCTTGCTGCCATGCATTATAAGTGATATTTCACGAACAATTTCTTTACTTAACTGGTGAGCAAATAATTTAAAGGCAAAAAATATAATCAATTAGTTCTACTGTTATGTATTTTGTATTGTGTTGTTATTTATATTACAAATTGACAGTCGATAGTATTAAAAATAAAAATTTTAAATATGTTATTATTAATTCCATTAGATTTATTGGTCCGATTGACCAAATAACTTTTATTCAATTAATTAACTTTTGTGAAAGGTATTGGTTGAGATAAAAAAGTCAGTGTCACGAGCGGGATTCGAACCGACGACTTTCGGCTAAATACGCCGCTGCTCTACCAGTTGAGCTATCGTGACTTCGATCCACTCGGACACCAACTTCCCATCTTAACCTCCCCTTTCAAATTTTCCATAGTTTTCCATTTTTCAACGTCTCTTTTTACCACAAACAATATCTTTCATAAAGATCATTTAATTGAAAAAATTTGTTTGGTCGATCAGATGAAGAAATCTAATGGATTTAATAAGTAAAATGAAGTATATCTTCACATTACACTTATTCATTACGCTTCATTACGCGGCATTTGAAAAATTGCAAAAAGAAGGGAAATTTCGAAAGGTGAGGTTGAGGTGGAAAGTTGGTGTCCAAGTGGATAGAGTCACGAAGCTCAAGCGGTAGAGCAGCGGCGTATTTAGCCGAAGTCGTGGGTTCGAATACCCTCGTGACATTGTTTTTTTTTTTTTAATCTCAACCAATACCATTCATAAACATTAGTGAACATAAATTAAAATTATGCTTTTTTTGTTTAAAATAATATTATAAATTTGAAAGGAAAGTCCAGCCATCTACATTTATAATAATTATGGTAATAGGATTGTTATGTCAGTGATAAAATATCTCTTTACTTTTTTACTTTGCCAATATAATTTCGTAATGTTAAAAAATATGGTCTTTTTCTTGTTGTAAATCTACGCCGTTTTATCCATGTTAATATAAAAGTTATATAGCGACGAAAAGTTTCATTTTCATCACATTCATAGCTAGCCAATGCATGTTGTTTAATTATTCAGAAATCGTGAGATGCGGTCTGGTGTGACGTAGGTTTCAGAAAAACATTTTCTTTATCGTGCCAAGGTTTCGATCTTTATTGAGATCATCTTCATAAAATGTAACGATAAAGAAAATGTTTTTCTGAAACCTACATCACACCAGACCGCATCTCACGATTTCTGAATAATTATCGATTAACGGTCACTAACCACCGCACAATGCATGTTGTGTTAATCCTGTATCATTTTTTATCATTCTATTTTAAAAGTTAGATGTTTCGACCACTTTTTTTACTTACGAACAATCTGGATAACAATAAGGTCCGGATTAAAATCCCAATTCAGGGCAAACAAATCTTGAAACAACAGTATTCTAACAGTCATTGGTGATGTTGAAATTCAGCCGTTCTCCATACGTAAGTCGGGTTTACCCTTCACGTTCCCCATATAATTCAGAGATTTTTTTTCGTAATAATCATTCCCATTACTTATCTCGTTATAAGCGATAACGTTATTGTCAGGTTTATCAGATTATCTGGAATGCTAATCTAACAGACCTATTTTTATATTTTTATTTTTACTTCACTGGAGATAAAAATCTCACTACTTCCATTGCTAGCTAAAAAATCAATTGTGGAATTAACCCTTCTTTATTTTTACGAGTTGAAAAAAATTAATTAAAGGGTTAACTACGAAGGATATTTGATGGGTATGTACCAGTCTGGCTAGAGGTGCTATATCATTCAATGACTCTGATAAGGACTTAAGTCGGGTTTACCCTCCATGTACCTCATATAGGTTAGAGAATATTATGTTTTTTGTAATAAATCTTTTTATTACTTATCTCTGTACATGCGATAACGTTATTGTCAGAATATTCAGGTTATCTCGAATAATAGTCTAATTGACTTATTTCTTTTTAAGTTTAGTTCACAGGCGACAAAAATCTCATTTCATCCACTGCGCACTAAACAACCGATTATGGAATTAACCCTTATTTACTTTTAAACGTCGAAATTACCAACTGTTATGGTTGCAATTCATTTTTTAGAGACGGGACAGTTTTTGGGCCACTGTTTGCTTGTTTCAAAAGTCATGTTAGATGTCTCTGCCTATTTACAGCCAGAATCGGCGGATTTCATTCTCGGTTTTTCTCATTTTTGAAATAATGATAAGATTGACAACGGCCAGCTGGAAGGTGTTATATGTATGAAATGAAATTATACTCAAAAATCTAAATGTTTACTTTGTAACGAAGAAATTCGATCCTTTGCAAATATCGCAAAAATCTTCCTACCACTGCATATTTCAAACCAATTAATTTCCATCCTGCCACATTCCATCCAACCCTTTTCACCGACTAAACAGCCGAAGGATTAAAGATCTTTTCAATAGTGTCAATGACGATGTGAGTGAAAAACTATTTTAAACGCAATTTTTATGACACTATCACCATCTACTTATTGAGCGCGTAGCAGAAAGGAGTTTTTCTCCTGTTGTAGCTTTTGCTTATATTTTGTTGTATATTATTTTATTAATTTCAACGTTTTATTTTTCTTAATATCTTTGTTTTATTTTCATTTGAAAAACAATCTTTCAAAATTTTCTTTTAATTTCATTTTCTGTGACATTTTACACCCATCTTATGTATTTCTGTAGTTTTTTAAATTTTATGATGAGTTACTTTTATGTCGGGTTTTAGTTCATCTTGTCATAAAGGTAGCATTTAAGTATGCCATTCACGCGATGTATGTATGCAACTGAATGTCAATTTTATTGCTGAAATAGTGCAGGTATGTTTCCCAGTATGAATTAGGCATACCGATCTTGTCATTTCTTTAATTTATTCTGTATCTTCTTTTCTATTGTTTTTGACTGCCATCTAATAGTTGTTTTCTTTCTTTGTTGTAAGTATGGTCCATATCTCCTAATAACTTCACACATTTGAAAAATAGATGCGATTGTTCGTCTGTACCATTATTTATGTGGTGTTTTATTTGAATTTTTCTACGTAAATAAATCCACAATAATAAACTTACTATTCTTAAAAGTTTTAATATCAAAAAATTTCCGTTTAACAAATTATTATTATTATTTATTTTTATTACAATTTGTAATTATTATTTACAATATGTAATTTGCGGATACATGAACTTATGTACAACTGTGTTTTTTTTTACAGTTTACTCGGAAAGAAGGTCGCGGGGCCATTTCCTCTTAAGACGCCTTATGGGGTTGTAGGGATGAGTTCTATCGGACAGGGATTTGGCAAGTCTATTTGGATGGTGGGAGAGTTTTTTGTGAAACTAGGTAAATTTTTGGAGAATAAATTTGTGGATATAAGGAATTTGAACGTCGTTGTGGAGTGTAGCATTTGAGACATAATAAGGAGCGTTTCCAATGGATCTGAGGACTTTAGATTGAAAGGATTGGAGAAGTTGGATATTGGAAGGTTTAGCGGTTCCCCACAGTTCTATTCCGTACGTCCAAATCGGTTGTAGTAGTGTTTTGTAAATAGTAAGTTTGTTTTTTGTCGATAGTTTAGACTGTCGTCCTATAAGTCTGTGCAGTAGTCCATACCGTCTGTTTAGGTTTTGTCGTGTCAGTCGTGTATGTTGATTCCACGTTAGTCGTGAGTCTAGGTGGAACCCAAGGTAGCGAACGCAGTCGGATTTGGGGATAGGAACGATACTGTAGTATATAGTGAGAGGAGGTTTGCTTCGGAGTGTAAATGTGACATGGACGCTCTTGCTTTCGTTCATCTTCATTTTCTATGGTCCACACCAATCTGCTATACATGTGATATGCCTCTTGTGAAGCAACTGCAGGATCGGGGTTAGGCTATAGTACAGCTATGTCTTTGGCAAAAGGTTTAGTGGGAATATCTGCAGTATAAAGGATGTACAGGATTGGTCCGAGCACACTGCCCTGCGGTACTCCCACGGCCAGAGAGCAGTATTCGGAGTAATCTGATCCTTGTCGGACCCGAAAGTACCGCTCTTGGGTAAAGAGTATTTGGAAGGACACGCTTTAATTTGTACAGGGTTCCATGTGCCAACACGGTCAAACGCTTGTGCCGTATCAAGGAAAGCTCCCATACAATATTCTTTGCGCTCGAGGGAAGACGATATACCATAAACAACGCGAAACACCTCCTGGACTGGTGTGGGAGGAAGCCAAACTGATGATCGGGGAGGAGGTTAGACTTTAATTGTGGCAATAGCCTTTAAGGTGAATTTTTTCAAATACTTTGTACATGATGGGAAGTAAACTATCGGTCGATAAGATGAGGATTTTTGAGCTGGTTTGCCAGGTTTCAGGAAGAGGATAATGTTACAATATTTCCAAACTAACGGAAAATGGGTTGTGCGGAGTTCACAATTGTAGAGGTATGTGAGGAATATAATGGCTTTTTTAGGGAGTTGTTGGAGAATTTGGGATGTTGTCAGGTCAATACCAGGAGCTTTGCGGTTCGGTAAACGAGACAGGATATACTTGACGTTTAACAATTAAATCGACAATTATTGATTTGGCATTCAATTTTGTTTTCAGACGTTTTTCTTCCTATTACTTATGGGCCATACTGGAGATTGCTGGTACTTGTACAACTAGAATGATAAGAGAGCTAATGTAAAATTGGGGCAAAAATGACACCAGCAGACCTTTTCCGAGATACGATAAAATAAAACTTTTAATAAAAAATTTCACAATATTGGAATTTAAAATAGTTTATTGCAATGAAAATATTATTATATCATTTTTTTCAATTAATTATTTTTTTAAAGTAAGGTGTTGGTTGAGATAAAAATGTCAGTGTCACGAGTGGGATTCGAACACACGACCTTCGGCTAAATACACCGCTGCTCTACCACTTGAGCTATCAGGATTTCGATGTTCTTCTTTATCTCAATCAAGACCTTACCTAGAAAGAATAATTAAACGAAAGGAATAATTTGGTCAATTGACCACTAAAACGTAAAATTATTAATATTTAATAAAGAAAAGAAGTATCAAGTATCATCAGCCCGAGGCCACGTCATAAGTCGCTGAAAATGCAATCCTGATTACACGACATTTGAAAATGGCAAAAAGAAGGAAAATTCGTCGGTTATGTTGGAGGTCGGTGTCCGAATGGATCGACGTCACAATAGGTCAAGAGTAGCATTGTATTTTTGCTATGAAGATGTATTTTATGATTTACCAGGCCCTGATGATGATCGAAATAAAGGTCGAAACGTCGGTAAAAAAACATGGTGGATTTTTGGGTCACTATTTTGCAACATGGTTTGACTGAAATTTTGCTGGGTGGCGTATTTTATATACCCCTAACTGCGTGTGAAACTGTGTAGTGAAGATTTTTTTGTAATTTTGGAGTTTACAATGTCCAATGTTAAAAAAATAAAAAAGTTATGTGACTGTTGCTGGTTTTAACTCCCTGTCTGGATGAAATGCTGCGTAGAATATAAATAAATACTTGAAGTGGATCGAAGTCACGATAGCTCAAGCGGTAGAGCAGCGGCGCATTTAGCCGAAGGTCGTGGGTTCAAACCCCGCTAAAAGACTTTTTTATCTCAATCAAAACCTTATAGTAAGGTAGTATATCTTCAATAAAACTCTTCGTGGCCATTTCATTTGTCGCCGAGAATCAAATAGATTACACGATATTTGAAAAATGGTAAAAAGGAGAGAAAATTCGAAAGGTGAGGATGAGATGGGAAGGTAGTGTCCGAGTGGATCGAAGTCACGATAGCTCTAGCGGTAGAGCAGCGGCGTATTTAGCCGTAAGTCGTGGGTTCGAATCCCGCTCGTGACACTGACTTTTTTATCTCAATCACGACCTTACATAGATAGAATAATTAACTGAAAGAAATAACTTGGTCAATTGACCACTAAAACGTAATATAGATTAATTATTATATCATTTAAGTCACATTAATGTTAAGCGACACCAAAGAGATTAGTGCCTTTATTAGTCAGTAACAAATTAATCGGGATTAGGGAAAAAATATTTCTTAAACGTCTGTTTAGATGTTTGAACAGCTGATCATAGTCGAATTTGAAAAAGATTTTATTGCGTGTATATATATCTTATAAGACCCCACGTACAATTTGTGGATTTATTACCTGATCAGTGGGGAATTTTTGAGCACAAATCTAATTTGGGAATGGAGCGACGGGCGACATCACTCAATTTCTCGTTTATAGATCCGACGGCTTTGTCGTGGAAGTGGCTCGCTGCCCAGTTTAAAATTTTGTCTTCGATTTTGTGTAGGAGTCCACCGCCGGTGTGAATCTTGATTTTTCCAAGGTGGTTAAGGACGATGTGATCTACGGAGGCGACGCACTGGGCACCATGGCCTTTGAGCGATACCTGGAGTTCGACGGAATTGGAGTCGACTTTCGCATTGACCTTGGACGTAGTGGACCCTATACGGTGAGCTTTGGCCTGGCACGATCCGAAGCCGAACTCCAAATTGCCGAATCCTAGTAATACCCTCAGGGTCACTGTGTCCCCATTGGTCGTCATAGTCGCATCGCCCGTCCTAACACAAAGTTCAAAGATAATTTTCTATAGGCGAAAGTAACATTATAAAAATATTACCTTTGTAGAGAACTGAGGGATTTGACCCATCCGTCTCGACATCTGAGATGCCCGCTGACCTTGATGAAGTGCCATCTTGTTTTCCAATCGTTATTCATGTCAGGTATCTTCATCGTGTCCATGCCGCCTTGTTGGATCAAAGATCGCGCCGATTGGAGCAACTGGTCAAACAGATTATTAAGAAGGACGGTATCGGCAACAGCCGAGCCGATTAATAGTCCGATTATCCATATAACACGCATGTCGGTATTACACTGATCCAGATAAATACCGTGTACGATTATATACTTTTATCTTATCTATAAACAAAATCCCACCTTGCTTAGTCTTGTTGAAATAATCAATTAAAAGTGCATTTCAATTGAAATAAATTGGCTTTCCTCGTATTTTTTCAACTACATTGACATTACCCTTGTAATCCAGAAATTAATTGATTGACTTTTAAAGTTTAATTAAAAATAATTAATAGAAGAAATCAGTTGGAATTGGGGTTTTGTTTGTTTTAACTGAAGAAAATTTACAGTTTACATGTTGTCATAGAAATTCCAGTGAGATAAGTGCAAGCAGACAAATTTGTCAAAATTATTTCGTCGAAACTATTTTTTCTTCTAATATACACAAATTTCAAAATGGATTCATGCAGAACGAGATATGTTAAAAATATGTCAGAGGAAAAAAATGTATATAAATGGTAAGGTTAAGAAGTTTAAACAATTAAACTGTAACTTGTATTCTTGGGTACAAGCAATCGACGAATTTCCTTAAACGTTTATTTAAAAAGATGGAAATTATACGAAATAATAGTCAGCTGTGACAAATATACAAACTAATTTTTGAAACGTTTTCTTTATTATTATCTACACTTGTATATGTATTATATACAACCAAAAATTAAATAAACCAATTATTTAACTATCTACGATTGCAAAACAAAAAACCAAGCAAAATCCTACAGCACTGGCTACCCACCATTTTGAACACAAACACAATTTTGACTTAAACAATCAACAAAAAGAAACAACTTTTAAGAAATGATTTACATCAACAGAGATAAACACAGCATCAATTAGAAAACTGACACGTGTAAACTCAATCGCGGCTACAACCTATAATAATCCTAAAAGGCTAGCCACGACCGAACCATTACCCAGGTTTTTCTCATCGTCGGCTCCATCCACCTCAAAGAAGCCAACTCCTCATACAAAAATGTCTTCATATCCTAATTTCCTTCCCCTCTTCAAAATCCAATGTATATATACATAAAACAGCAATATGTCCCTGGCACTCTCAACAAGACACACAAGAATGGCACATCTACACAGAAAACTAACACTTTGAGTGAGTACAAATACTTTGATTGAATACAAAATAAATATTTATTTGCATTGTATTTTCCACATCCTACATGTATTTCTTAAATTTTAACAATGTTTGTAAATCCCAGGCCAAGAAGATGATCACAATAAAGATCGAAACGTGACCGTTAGTCAATAATTATTCAGAAAACCTGAGATGCGATATGGTGTGATTTAGGTTTTAGAAAAACATTTTCTTTATCGAGCCAACGTTTCGATCTTTATTGAGATCATCTTCGGGGCCTGGGATTTACAAACGTTGTTTAAATTTTACAAATAAACGTTGGATGTGGAAAAAAGTGAATTTATACAATGCAAAAAAAATATATTTCTTATATTCAATCAATGTATTTCTACTCACTCAAAGTGTTTGTACGCAGAAAATAAACACTTTGAGTGAGTAGAAATGCTTTAATCGAATATAAAAAATATATTTTTTTGCATTGTATAAATTCACTTTTTTCCACATCCTACATGTATTTGTTAAATTTAAACAATGTTTGTAAATCCCGACCCTGAAGATGATCTCAAAAAAGATCGAAATGTTGGCATGATAAAGAAAATGTTTTTCTGAAACCTAGATCACAACAGACCGCACCTCACGATCTCCAAATAATCATCAACTAACGGTCACTAAACACAATAATATTAATAGTGAAGTCTCTAGTTTTATACCATGATTAATGTAAGTATTTTGAAGTTTGTTCCGATGTTAAAATGTCAAATTCATATTTTTCTATATGTTACTCATCTGCTTTAAAATCTCTTATACTAAGAAATACCTACTCAACATAAATTACAAGCAATTCGGCCAGTAAGGAGATTCCTTGATTTTTTTAACCCTCTGTAAAAATGGAGTAAAAGAACTTCGATTATTTTGAATACATCAACTCTTTAGAGTGCTTTTTGTTTGGAAATATAAAGCAATTCTGGAAAGGTATCAATTTATGTATGAATTATATTGATTTAACCCGAACCTGTAATCTTGAGGAAGGGCTTCCAATGAATCGGATATCTGCACTATTTGCTTAATTCTTTAACAGAATTTAAGTCGGTTGTGAATATAATGTATCTTGCTTTAACTTTTCAAATTCACTGAACCTCTCGAAGAATGTGCCATATCAAGGGACGAGGTTGCCAAGACTTGGGAATTTTCGATGTATCAAAGGAAAATTTGGACTTGTTTTACAAGTCCGAAAGTAGAATGGGTGGTAAAAATTACCGACTACCTCTAAAATATGTGTAATCATCAAGGCCTTTGAGAAAATGTTGTGAACTAATGACCTACATCAATTACGCCCATCCAACGTAGATCCTGTTATTTCTAATCTTGTGATACATAAAAAAATAGTAATAAAAAGGATACATTCCGGGCAAAACAAGCCATACCGACCTAACAATAGGTCATAAATTGCTGTGTTCATACGGAATATCTAGAGATCTTTTTGCTCGACTACAAAAGTTATCTATGTGAAATGGTGTTAAAATTAATAGCACTAGGTCTGAAAATTTTCAGTCCATGGTCGCGTGTCTTCAAGGTTCTCTTCCAGATCCAATTTTATGTATACTTATTTATTTAGAAATCTTGAGATGCGGTCTGGTGAGATGTAGGTTTCAGAAAAGCATTTTCTTTATCGTGCCAACGTTTCGATCTTTATTGAGATCATCTTCAGGGCCTGGGACTAACTCAAAGTGTTTGTCTTCTGTATAATTGTGCCATTCTTTGAGCCATTGCCACAAATACTTTGAGTGAGTAGAAATACTTTGATTGAATATAAAAAATATATTTTGCATTGTATACTTGCATACTTTTCCACATCCAAAATGTAATTGTTATATGTAAACAATGTTTGTAAATCCCAGGGCCTGAAGATGATCACAATAAAGATCGAAACGTTGGCACGATAAAGAAAATGTTTCTCTGAAACCTACATCACACCAGACCGCATCTCACGATTTCTAAATAAATATCGATTAACGGTCACTAATCACCACACATTTATGTATACTATTCATAAATGGCATAGTTGATAAACTAAATGGTAATTTACTGCTGCTGGCATCTCACGATTTCTGAGTAAAGTTCGAAGCGTTGGGACGATATAGAAAATGTTTTTCTACGTCACACCAGACCGCATCTCACGATCTCCGAATATTTATTTAACTAACTCACATTTCCACCGTTTCAATAAAGAAAGACTCATTTTGACTCATTAGGCAACCCACATATTAGAAAATATCCACATGAAAAAGTTCCGCTCTAAATAAGGGATGCTCTAGTTCAAAGCTCATGGACGATTAGATATCAGTCATGATTCATTTGTTGTACAGCTTTACAAAAAATAATGTCGTAAAACTGTACATAACAACTTGTAAATTACAATTTCACAGCCTCATAAAGGGAACTTTGTGTTTGAGGGCTAAAAACCTAAATGATCAGGCTTGTTGTCAATGTGATAATTATTTTACATTACAGCAGTAAAATTGAAGTTAGATCTCGCCTGAAAATGAAAAGATGTGTCATGCTTTCATATAACGAACAGCTAGTTATGACATGATAAAGCTAACACGAGAATTATTCATGAAAAGCTATCTTTTGTCACATTTACGATATAAATGTACGAATTGTAAATCATAACTATCACTTTAAAAATTTTCATGTTTTAAACATAAATTTCTATACAAATTCATATTTGTGGATTGGTAATAATAATTTAAAAGTTTTGATGATCAAGATATATTTCTCGAAGGCGTACCGAACGAACTGAATATTTTCTTTTCTGCAAACTGTTTTTATTACTGATTTTTATAAGAAAAGTAGTATGATGTAGAAGATAAAATTTTAATCTGCTAGGTTAACCTTCGTTTACTCAAAAACTACGGAGATTAGAAAAATGTAAAAAGTTGTTATTTTTTAAACGGGCTTCATCTATTCCACAAACACAATTTCACCTTATTTCTTTAATTACTTATTTTTTATTAAACATTAAAAGTTGTTTCATCAATCAAATAATTTGTGGATTACAAGGCTAATGTCAATGTAGTATAAAATACAAGGAAAGTCAATTTAATTCAAATGAAATGCATTTGTAATTGATTATTTCAACTGCCTGTAACTACAACTGTCTTTTCATCCGTGTTTTCCTTAATCCAGTACATCACACTTCATAGCCTACTTCTTAAAAATAATATTCACTAGTTTCGTGGTGCGCTTGACCAATTAATATATTTGTATTAATCAAGGTTTTTCGTTGAGATAAAAAAGTCAGTGTCACGAGCGGGATTCCAACCCACGATCTTCGGCTAGATACGCCGCTGCTCTACCACTTGAGCTATCGTGACCTCGATCCAACTAACTTCCCATCTCAACCCCAAAAAGGAGGGAAAATTCAAAAGGTGGAATTGAGATGGGATGTTAGTGTTCGAGTGGAACGAAGTGGTAGAGCAGCGGCGTATCTAGCCGAAGATCGTGGGTTGGAATCCCGCTCGTGACACTGACTATTTTATCTCAACGAAAAAACTTAATTAATAAAAATGATGTTTTACAAAATTATTTTACATTTTTTTCTGCATTCGTTTTGTATTTCAAAGCATTGTTTAATAAATCAGTCGATTTTTTTTTAACCTGGCATAAAAAACTGATATGCTGGATCATATTAATGAGATAACGACAAGAACTGATCCAAGGGTACAATAACCCTTATGTGAACTGCCGAACAAAAATTCCATCCTAGAATTAATATGGACACACTCACTGAAGACTTCCAGTGGATGTGTCGCCAAGTTAGAACGTTTCAGCCAAACGCTGGAAATAACAATTCTTCTAAAATTTCTAGGTTCTTTTTTTATGTATGAAATGAAACTACATTCAAAAATTTAAATGTTTGTTTTATAACGAAATTACTCGATCCTGTTTGCACAAATTTCGCAAAAATCTTCTTATCGCTAAAATTTCAAATCAAATAATTTTCATCCTGCCGGCTTCCATCCAACCCTTTTTACCGGCTAAACAGACGATGTAGTGCACATTTTTTAAACAGTGCCAATGGCGTTGAGAGTGAAACATTAAAAAAAAATCTTATGCCACTTTAAATCAATAAGTATTTTCTCAACTGTTTATAGATTTTGCTTATATTTTATTGTGAATTTTTCTCTTGTATAGTTACACTGTAAGAGGTAGTTCTAATAAGCATTGATTAAACAAAAATAAAAATAATGGGTTTATTAAAAATTATTCTTTACCTTATATTACGAATTGTATTTACTAATACTTATTCTGATGAGCTTGAATAGTGTCCTTTTTCAAGATTCACAGTCAAACCCAGTCCATACTTAAATACTAAAATACACTAGGAATGTCAATTTGTTACATTACAAAATTTATTCATGTATCACTTCATATTAATGATCAGTTTAAATTAATATATAATTGAAAATGATCTCACATTTATTATCACATAATATGCTGGGTTTGCTCTACATTTCGTTTTAATTCATTCAGTTGGATTGTTTTGCAAGTATTTTAGAAAACCTAATGATTTGTCGCATAATCCGACTGGACGGCCAAGTAGGTCTTTTATGTTTCTGTTGATTAAATTCATGGCATCTTTTCGAAAGCGTCTAGCCACCCAGTTCAGGACCTTATCTACTACTCTGTTAATAAGACGGGTTCCGGTTTGAATTTTGATTCCATCGAGATTAGTGAGGTACACGTCTTCGACGTAGATATCGCAATCTTTTTCGTATTCGTGAAACGTAAACCTGAGATTGACGGCTATTGTGCCGACGGTCATCTTCACTCTCGTCTTGGTAGTCGGGATGAAGTTAGATTTAACCTCGCAAGTTCCGTAGCCGAACTCCAAATCGTCGAACCTAAGTCCGACACTAACTGTTATGTAGTTCTCCGTTATGGTTACTGCCGCGTCGGACGATCTGTCAAAACACATAAATTATTCGTTTTCGATGTTCTGATGTAAGTGTTTAATTTACCTTTTGAAAGAATTGAGAGAACTGATATATCCATCGCTACATCTTAGCTCCCCATTGACCGTAATAAACGATATTTTTTTCTCGAAATTGTAGTTCACATCTGGTATATTTACAATTGCATTGCCGTATTCTATCAACTTATTACGCACGCCATTAAGAAATTGGTCGACGTAACCGTTCAATTCAGCCGTGTCGGCCACAGCCGATCCGACAAGAAGCCCGATTAATAAAACGACTCGCATGTTTCTTTCCTACTGAACTAAATTTATCTCGCATCCATTTTATACTACTGTTTTTCCTATCTGTAAACCGAAATGGGCATGAGCGCACGTTTTAGAATATTATCTCATTCATGTCTGATTAATTTTTGCCGCTCATAAACTAATAATAGGTTACAATAACACATAATGAGTGAATCACACTTTTTATATTGTCCATTAACGTTTTAATATTATTTCTGAAAATGTGAGCTTTATAGTTCTCTGTCTTCGCCAAGCAAATAACAAATGAAAATATTATCCACGTAATTATTTGACACCATGTCCCTACCTAGGGGTTATTTGTTTTATGTGGAAAGAGGGCTGGATTTATGAGAAAGGTAACAATAAATATTTATTCAGAAATCGTGAGATGCGGTCTGGTGTGATGTAGGTTTCAGAAAAACATTTTCTTTATCGTGCCAACGTTTCGATCTTTATTGAGATCATCTTCAGAGCCTGGGATTTACAAAAATTGTTTACATATAACAATTACATTTTGGATGTGGAAAAGTGAATTTATACAATGCAAAATATATATATTTTTTATATTCAATCAAAGTATTTCTATTCACTCAAAATATTTGTCTTCTGCGTAATTGTGCCATTCTTGCGTGTCGTGTTCCACATGATTTCTGAATAATTATCAATTAACGGTCACTAATCACCACACATTGGTAACAATAAAGTATTTGGGTGATTTCGGGCTTTTTTAGGTCGAAATGTAAGCGGATTTTGAGCCAAATTTATCATTACCTCTATCCCAATTTGTGAAAGTGTAAAGAGAGGATGAAACAAGAGTTTGGTGGTTTTAGATGCACAGGTGATATCCGTCGAGGAGCAAGTAGAGATTTTGCGGCTACCTCTTTTATCCTTGTGTATTCCAGATTATTAAGTGGAAGAGGGATTAATGAAAAGGATTAGGATGAAAAACTAAGTTGAGTTTTAGGTCGAAGTGCTGGACGTTTTCAGGCTACCCCGTGATGCTTTTATGTGCATAGTTCTGTATTGCTGACATAAGTAAACCTGTGTCATTGGTCGGATGAAGTATTAAACGTTTATACGATATTATAACAAAGAACTGCAATTACATTTGAGCTGTTTAATATTTTAAGAACAGGTGCCTCTTTTCCTCACTTTCTAAACATTCTTTTGAAGTTGGAAAACCTTACGAACAGTCAACAACTTTACTGTCCCAGATTCCTATATCATACACGTGACATAAAAAAAGGGATTAATTTTGGCTGGTGTGCAAGTGATTTTAGTCTCTTAAGTACAAAACACGAATCAGTCTGCGACTGCACAAGGAATCAAGTTTACGGTTTTCGGAGCCAAAACTAAATCTATAGTGAGATTCTTAAACGACATAACGAATACGGTTACAAAGTTAATTACCATTTTCCTTTTTTTTTCACACTATCAATAAAAATAAATTAGTGTAGTGGGTTTTGATCACGCCCATGTAACTGTTATGAAGCAATTTGATAATAATAAAATTTTATATAACAAATCAAATTAATTAGGAGATTGTTATCAAAATATAACTTATATATTTTAATTAATTGTTGTCACTCGTAAAAATAAATGCTAAGTAGCTGCTGAAACAAAAATAAAATAAAATCTATCATTCTTTTACCCAGAAAAGTTAAAGAATTTTTAGAAAGGAAATTGTGTCCAAGTAAATATTATTAGCACTCAATTAATTAAGGTTTTTAGTTGAGATAAAAAAGTCAGTGTCATGAGCGGGATTCGAACACAACCTTCGCTTGATACGCCGCTACTCTACCACTTGAACTACCGTGACTTCGATCCACTCGGACACTAACTTCCCATCTCAACCCCCACCTTTTGAATTTTCCCTCGTTTTGCCATTTTTCAAATGTCGTGTAATCTATTTGACACTCGGCAACAAATGAAATGGCCACGAAGAGTTTTATTGAAGATATACTACCTTACTATAAGGTTTTGATTGAGATAAAAAAGTCAGTGCTACGAGTGGGATTCGAACCCACGACCTTCGGCTAAATGCGCCAGGATGATACAACCCTCACCGAAACTTCTTCGGAAACTGGCAAAAACACTGCACGCAATTGGAGAGGGCTAAACTCAGAGGAGTGGTAGGACTACTAGCCAGTCACTGGAATCTGAGAAAACATCCACACATGGGTATATACAACGATGATCCCATTTGCAGTTTATGTAATGAGGAGGAGGAAACAGCCACTCATATCAGCTTCGAATACGAAGCAACAGCCACAGAGAGCTTTAGTGAAGATATTCTGCGTTTTTACTTATTAAATTCATTAGATTTCATGGTCCCATTGACCAATCAATATCTCTCAATTAATTAAGATTTTTAGTTGAGATAAAAAAAGCTATCCGTGGCCATTAGATTACACGACATTTGAAAAATGGCAAAAAGGAGTGAAAATTCAAAAAGTGGGGTTGAGATGGGATGTGTTCGAGTAGATCGAAGTCACGATAGCTCAAGTGGTAGAGTAGCGGCGTATCAAGTCGAAGGTCGTGACTTCGATCCACTCGGACACTAACTCCCATCTCAACCCCACCTTTTGAATTATCCCTCCTTTTTGCCATTTTTCAAATGTCGTGTAATCTATTTGATTCTCGGCGACAAACGAAATGGCCATGGAGGGCTTTAGTGAAGTATACTTCATTTTAATTCATTAAATTCACAATTTTTCGTGGTTGGCTCGACCGATTATTATCATTCAATTAATTAAAGTTTTTACTTGTGATAAAAAAGTCAGTGTCACGAGCGGACTTCAAACCCAAGACCTTCGGCTTGATACGCCGTTGCTCTACCACTTGAGCTATCGTGACTTCGATCTACGCGGACACTAACTTCCCATCTCAACCCATCCTTTTGAATTTTCCCTCCTTTTTGCCATTTTTCAAATTTTTATCTTCGAATCCCGCTCGTGACACTGACTTTTTATCTCATCTAAAAACCTTAATTAATTGAATGATATTAATTGGTCAAGCGGAACAAGAAAAATAATGAATTATTAGCACAACTACAGTCGAATAATAGTAGCATTTAAATTCGCGTTATGTGATTTCTTATGTTGGAAGGGCATAAAATGTCAATTTTTAACCTAGTTTACCTCCCATTTAAAACAAATTTAACTAGCAACTCGTTAATAATTTACACAAGGAAACGCACAACTCATTATAATTGAGAACTTTATAACGATATAGTTTTAGAAATATACTTTTCTAAATGTTGAAGAAATTTTTGTTAATTTTTTAGTCTTTCCCTGAAATCACCTCCATCCTCCGAATGTTTTTCCATGTTTCTCTCTTGTTCTCCGTAAATTCGTATATCTTTTTTTCTCAATTTCTTTTCATCTTATTTTGTTTTCGGAACATTTGTTTATCCCAACCCAAGAATTACTATCAAAGCTCATTTTTGAAGTACAAAACCGTATGAAGTAGACCCCATATCACGGTTCTAAAATCCAATGCCACATTACAGTTGACATGAAAAAGACTTAATAGGCTGTTAGCAGTTGAGACTCGTATATAACTGGTTTCAATCAAGTCTGAAACACCAATCATTCAAAATACGCTCCAAAATTCAAGACTTATGGGTTCGTAGTTAAAACGAATCGATAGTTAATAGCTTTAATTCAATAAATAGCTCAACAACATAAAACATAACGTTCTTCTGGTCCTTCTTAAGTAGAATGGAACGTTAGTTTAGAAGTTCTTACCAGTCGTCACTTCTTCAGGTTCGCCTCGCAACAACCAAATGAACCCAAAAACCTCACCTATTCACTATGTCCAATTGCCCGCTTGTACCATTAAGGCGAGAGGAATTTCAATACAACGAATTCCTCTCCGGCTGAAAGTTACAATGAATGATTTAGAATGACACGTCAAACTTATTAATAGACAATTAACAGGGTGTACTTTTTAGATGGCCCGACTTCAATTTATCTTGAAATAGTGACGCTGTAAAACAAAAAATAATATTTGGGAGAAAAAGTATACAGGGTACTTCAGGTTCAGTTCAACCTCAAAATATCAAATACGAGGGTTAAAAATAGCAAATCTTTTCATCTTTAGGCAAGGCAGGCAGTACAAAGATGAAATGTGATTAATACATGGCAAACCAAATAACTGTTTTTTTTCAAACTTTTTGTCACAAATCACATCGTTTTTTGATCAATTAAAGATCCGATTGCATCGTTGTTTTCAGTGTAAAAAAATCCTTTAAAATTATGTGCCAGGATGAAAAAAACTTGAATGTTGAACTTGGCCTGAGGCACCCTGTATAAGTCTCCAAAAAAGGCGAAAATTTGAAACTAGACTAAAAAATACTCAACACGTTTTTTTTATTTTTAGTGACATTGCTTCAAAAAAAAAAAAAAAAATTCAGCCGAGCCATCTCAAAAGGACACCCTGTATAGAGTTAAACAATTTCTGGTGCGTATATACTTCTTATAAAAACGTATTACCATCTAAAATTTCATTGGAACTTTTTCGTAGCTGAGCTATATGCTAAAACTATAAATATTCAGATATCAGTACCTCGAATAATATTTTGAAATCATATAAAAGTGTTGAATTTTTAATTTTATTAATATGATTTAAGATGTTGAATAATAACTTTTTAATTAGTACATGACAACTACCAGAATTATATGTTAATTTTACATAATAACTCTCTATTACTAGAGAATAATATAATTTTTTTTATAAAGTTATCGTTTGAGACACCGAAATTGTAGTTGCATATGAAGCCCTTCAGTAAGAAAGGAATTACCTATATGAAAGCTTACGTTTATAGATTTGTGAAAATCGTTTGATAATATAAAACTTCAAGTGTAATGTAAACCTTTAAAAATGATAAAATATTATTATCTTAATTGGCAATTTTAATCAACCAAAAAAGCCTTTGTAACAAGGTAAAACAATTAAAAACCTGTTAATCAATTTTTCTTTGATTGTCACTTGATTTGATTACTGAATTTTAGATAAAAGACTGGCGAAGCGAAGTGTTGGTCAGTATGTCATGAGTAGTCTGCAACAATGTTCCGCTTTTTAAGTATAATTTTGTTTGTGTACAGCGTTAGCTGCGATCAGGTAGTTATCAACGATGCTGTCGACCAGCTGCTCGAATCAGCAAGGGTCCTCGTGAAAGCCAAAGGCCGGGACAAAATCAAATTGCCATCGATCGATAAGACGTTCGAAAAAGTTGTTTTCAAAACGGTGAAAATCAAGGGTGAATTTCACGCGTCAGGAGGTGTCTTCGAGGATACGACGTCCCTGGTGAGGAAGGGCGACGTCACGATGAAAACCGAAGGGAACAAACTGACCCTCGGGGCGAGCCTCGGATTCAACCGAATTAACGTCGACTACAGCCACTACAGCTTTAAACTTTTGGCGCTCCACTCCGAAGGTTCGATTCACGCCTCGTGCGCCAAAAATGCTGCCACCGTTGTTCTATCCATTGTTCACAGTGGTCCGAATTGCACCGTCGAGTTGCAAAGAGCCCAGATCGATTCACTCGGCAGCTTCGACGTCAAGATGACCGGCCCGGGCGATATAAATAAACTGGGAACAGTGCTTTTTACTTGGGTTCTCAATCAATTTGATCAACTCATAACAACCGTCATTAACCTACAGTTGGAACAAACTTTGAGTGAGGCCTTAAGGAAAGTGGACCTTTGTGAAAAAATTCCGTTTTAATACTTTAAAGTCATTTATTTGCTTTTACTACAAATTATCTTCTCTAGTCGAGTAATTTCACCTGTAAAAATATTTCATAACTATCAAGGTACAAACCATTCTGAATAACAGCAGTTAAATTTATATTGAACTTATTAAAATAAATCTATCTGAATAACAATAATTCGTTTTTTATGAAAACAACATTGAAAACATGAACGTGTGCAAATGAAATAAGCATTAAAACAATAAAAACCTTTTCATTGACATACAAAGTACATATATGTTCTATCTATACTAAGGTCAATTCATTCAATTTCAGATGAAATGCCATGAATTCTGCGGAAATGTAAAACACAAAACAAACACAGAGAGTTTAGATATTTTAAATTTTTTTTTATTATTATAAGGTTTTTTAATCGGAGGATACCGACAATGAAGTCATATCAGCTCTAACGCACTCTGGGGAACGATTGGGTAGTCGATATATTGCCATCGGTCCTCTCACTTAGTCATTCACAACCAAACAAAATATGGCACATATAAACTGTACAGGAACACATTTATACATGAATTTACAATTATTATCGATAGTGAAACACCCTTGTTTCCGTTAAAGATCGGGGACCCACCAACATACTCTCGGTACTAAGGGTGTCTTTATGTCGTGTGCTTGCTTACCTGCATCCCCCTCACCAAGGCTTGGCACTTGTTGACCAACGGTAACACACGAGCAAACTTTATTGAGAAATCGTGAGATGCGGTCTGGTGTGATGTAGGTTTCAGAAAAACATTTTCTTTATCGTGCCAACGTTTCGATCTTTATTGAGATCATCTTCTGGGCCTGGGATTTACAAACATTGTTTACATTTAACAAATACATTTAGGATGTGGAAAAGCGAGTTTATACAATGCAAAATCTTTTTTTTATATTCAATCAAAGTATTTCTACTCACTCCAAAATCCAACGTATATAAACATAAAACATGAAAATCTCACTGGCACTCTCAAGAAGACACGCAAGAATGGCACAATTACACAGAAGACTTTGAGTGAGTAGAAATACTTTGATTGAATATAAAAAATATATTTTGCTTTGTATAAATTCGCATTTTTAAATAATACATTTATCTATTATTCTTCCATGTGTTGAAAGTGAATTACGTTTATTGCTCAAATTCTCGTTTATCCTGATACAATGCTAGTAGCTGTTAGAGTGTGTATAATGCTAAGCGTATTTTAGCATAAAGACAATGAATTATTAGAAAGGCAAGTAATCGACAATAGAGTGAGGCTAAAACAGCGGCATAATTAATAGCAGTGACCCCTGTTCTGTTGTCTTGGCTGCTTTTAATTTAATTTAACCCGCTCGTGCCTGGTAATGGCGGAAAACCGAACGTCCTCATTCCTCGTACTTGTGATGTACGACTTGGTGTGAAGCAAATTATCATGAGGCGTAAGTAAAAGGGTGGACACTTGCTTCACCACATTTCGGATGACGAGACATTCTGAAGTGTTTGGTCGTCGTACTGTTGGAATATTATAGGAAAAATTCTTTTTATTAGTTTCTAGTCAAAATTTTTAAGATGACATTCAAAACTGTTTTTCATAATATAAAAATATGCAATTTTGCAATATATCTTTCATTTAAATGATATTTGTGTGGGGATTAGTAACCGTTAAACGATAGTTGTTCAGAAATTGTGAGATGCGGTCTGGTGTGATGTAGGTTTTAGAAAAATATTTTCTTTATCGTGCCAACGTTTCGATCTTTATTGAGATCATCTTCAGGGCTTGAGACTTACAAACATTGTTTACATTTAACAAATAATTTAGGATGTGGAAAAATATCCTATACAAAAAAACTATATATTAAGGTATAATGTATTGTAATTTTTGTAAGATGTTGGAAGCGGCGGGACGACGCGCCGGTTCGAAGATCTTTCTTTATTTGCTTGCTTTTCTCAGCAGTATTTTCTCAAATTTATTTAATCAAAATTCCGCTTTTTAAATGTACACCACTAAGCAATTCATGAGAAGTGGTCAAGAATGAAGTAGTTTAGAAAAACACCTTTTTAATTTTTTCCTAACTTTCAACCTTTATAGGAGTAATCTTCAAAGGGGGTCTTTGCCCTGAAGATGATCCGAATAAAAATCGAAACTTTGTAAACAAAATTAAAAAGTTGTTTTTCTAAACTAACTCATTCTTGACCGCTCCTCACGAATTCAACAAACACTTAGACAACTGGTCACTAAAAAAACTGACACTGATAATAATAGTAATACTCTAATTATTCTTCTCCCCAATAGCTATTACTTTAAGAAAGGGAACCCCGATGGACAATGGGTAACCGAAACGTTACTTCATGTAAATAACATCACTGATAAAATTAAAGATTTCCTCAGAGCCGTTTCTTCATCCCTGTCCATGATGCCTAGTGTTTTCCATAATACGTTGAGTATATAAATGGCATGAAACCACATCAAAGTATAAAGATAGAGATAAAAGAGGCCTACTACACCTCGACCTCACTAGATCTATTGTGCTCCCCTGTTATTTATAACTCACTGGCCAGCTTTAGGTTATTAACCAGCTCCACAGCTTTGCCAGCGGCTCCTTAGTGTAGGATCTTGTTTGGGATTTTTCTGGTCCTAGTTGCAAGAACCTGCACCTACATAGCCCTTTAATGTGTTCTGCGGTCTCCTCCTCATCCTGGCAGTATCTGCATAGTGTTTCTTCTGTCTGTATTCCCATCGGGTGCATGTGCTTTTTAAATGGCAGTAACCAGTCAGGAATCCACCTAGGGAGTTGTAGCCCACTCAATTTGGAACTAAAGCGACGACGGGTGGTAAAATGTGGTTAAGGCTCGGGGCCATGAAAGAAGGGCACTTCTTGTCCTCATCCACGTCCCTGTCTCAATCCAGGTTCCATCACACTTTCCTGTGACCCCTCCCGACCCTTGGTTACAAGGGGGGGTTTCTGCACACTAAATAATGGTGCAGCCCTGAGGGCGTGGACCTCTCTAAAGAACAATCAGTACTCGTGAAGGCTTCGGGTCGGCATGGGCGGCGGGTGCCTATCAGAGGCACACGATGGTTAGGGTACCAGATCCTGTCTGCATAGACGGGGGAGGGTGCATAACCATCTGTAGTAAGGAATAACAGAAATGTTCCAAAATCCAGCCCCTGTTACACTGGAAATGGATTCGTAGTGGTACGTGGTGACGCCCCTGGCGGGAACTTAGAGAAGAGGCTGTCTTCTACCTGTGACTTTTGAACGAAACTTCCGTATGACCACTGTTATACATCCGGCCTCACGGGATACGGCGGATCGGACGGCACCGTATAAGCGTTGGGGACGCTATGATTATGCTGATAAGTCCTTCGAATGAGTGAGTAGTAGCGGATAGGAACGGGTAGTGAATCGGTCGCTCCTACTCGAGTATGCTTTGCACGTAGTAGGCTGAGCTCGATTGGAGGCTTTTACCGTAGGCGGTTAGCGTCCTCAACGGGGTGGTTAGCAATTCCACTTTAAACAAAACCGCGGCCGGAGCGGATCCAGTAGTTTCTACGCTAGAGAAGCCCCAAAATTCTGGGAGATAGAGTGGCCTTCTCTAGCTAGGGAGCGCGCGGGAGACCAAGCTGATGTATTTTGGCTTAGGTAGCCCTTTGCGCGTGGCTTAATGCAGACCCGACCACTCGGAAAGGGCAATCGGGGAGCGAAGTAGTATTGGGCCTTCGGGGCTGAGTTGCCTCTACACCAATGCTGCAGCAGTAACACCATTCTGTCGTATGTGGAGGTGCGTCAGCTCTCATCTTGAGAATCAAAACGTCCAATAAGGCCGAATAGGCTAGGTGCGGACGTTAAAAATCCTCATTGTCCTTTTAAGGACGACCAAGTATACGGGAAAGCATGCCCAGTCAGGAGTCAAACCATAATCCTGATTCGGTTACGGTCGCCTTCCAGTAATTCTTTTTTAAGTTTTGCAGATGATCCTTCTATGAATCTCTTCGCTTTTCTCATACCTGTGGTATTGTTCCACGTGGTTTTGGACTTATTAAGGATCCATTTTAAGATGTATCCTCTAATGTGGCAGGCTGCTAGGCCGCAGTAGGGTTCTGGGCCCAGAGAGTCCATGTCGGCTCCCTTTTTGGCGAACATGTCAAACTTTTTGTTCTCACTATGCCCCGAATGTTCAGGGATCCATGCCAGGATCATTAGTGTCGCTGACTTCCGTTCATTCCGTTCCAAACACTCTTAGCATTCGCTTCGTATGAGGCTAGTGCCCTGAGTGCTACCTGGCTGTCAGAGAAAATGGTTATCTTCCGGGAATGCATTCCTAGCCTTTTTATTTCTCTGGCGCATTGTTCAATCGCTATGATTTCAGACTGGAAAAATGTAGCATACTTACCAAGGTTTACCGTCAGTTCGGTCATGGGATTCATCCCGAAGACCCAGCTCCAGTACCCTTGTCGGTTCTGGAGTCCTCAATATGCCAGTAGAAATTTGCCTTTTGTGGTGTTCCTTGGCCTATTCTTCCCGTTCCTGTATCAGTACTTTGTACTTTTGGTAAAGTTGTACTTTGGCATATCTAGAATGACATCTGCCTGTATCTCCTCCCTCAGTTTCCATTGTTTATTTACATGACCTATCCTAGCAGATGTGGGCTGCTGTTCTGGCTTCTCCTTGGATTAAAATGTGAGTGTGGGAGGTTTAACAAAACTTCCAGAGCCGCAGTTGGCGTTGTGCTCATGGCACCAGTGACTCTGAAACATGCTTGTCTTTGGGTGCCACTTAATAGCCTTATTGTTTTGGCCTGAAGATTTTGGTCCACCACAACAACATTGCATAACATACTTTTGTATATTATGCTTTCATACATGCCACAAAATTTTATTAAAAAAAGCCATTTTAGATAAATTAAGAGAAAGGGTCAATGTGCTGGGGTAATATGCATGAGCCCTAATGCCAATTATTGTCATCATTATTGATCCATGATATCTCCTGTTTTATACAAGTAAGGATGTGAGATTCTAGATTATATCATATCTCGAAAAAACATTACGTTATTACTGTACTGATGCGTTGAAAGTGACGCCTTTGAGAATTGGTAGGTTAAAGACAGCAATCAAGGCCATATTTTCTTGTACAAACAATAATATTATAAATCTTTACCTTCAATT